GCCCCGAGCGGTGACAGCGGCGGGAGGGGAGGGAGGGGAGGGACCCGCCCCGCCCCGCTCCGGAGGCGGCCCCGGCCCCGGCGCTGCGGGGAGCGGAGCCGGCGCTGCCGGGAGAACGGGGTCCGGGGATGGAGCGGGGGTCCGGGGATGGAGCGGGGGTCCGGGGATGGAGCGGGGGTCCGGGGATGGAGCGGGGGCAGCGCACCCAGGGCCTCTGCTCGCATCCCGGCCCCCAAACACGACGGGATAAGAGTCTGAGCACGCTGGCTGCAGGCAGCCCTGGCTGGAGCCGCTGCCCGAAACCGATGGTTTAAACCAGGCCAGTTGTCTTCACCGTGCCTGTCTCGACATGAACCGCTGCCTTTCACACTCACCCCTTCAGCTCCCATCACCCCTTCATGCTCACATCATCTCCTCGCATTTCCATCACCCCTTCACGTTCCCATCATCCCGCCTGGAGCAGCCTCATCCTCTCCCACCCACGAGCACATCCAAACTCCGGGGCACAGCCAGGGCAGAGCAGTGCACGTTGTGCTGTGCTGGGTGACAGCCAGGGGTGCTTGTTCCCAGGCCTGCTTGGTACAGGTGGGAGGCCAAAGACAGATGGGAACTGACTGGATAAAAAGCATCTTTAAGATGCAAGATGAGTGTCAAGCCAGCACAGCATGGAGTTAACAGAAGAATATCGGTTTTCACATGAAATCTATTTGATTGTATTTAGGTAGCACAAACTTCAGACCACAAACGGCACAGCAGAAGGAGAGTATGACTCACAGATGTCAGCTTACCGGTAGGGAGAAAAAAAGTCATTAGCAACCAGCTCTTGTGGTTCTGTCACTCCGAAAGTCTTTAACAGCTTCCGACTCTGGCACAGATCAGGCTGCTCTCATCAAAGATGGGCTTGAGTGAGCACAGGCCCGCAGGAGCAGCTGCCCAGGGTCACAGTCACTGCCCAGCCCTTAGGGTGGACCAGGGTCCCGCTTGCAAACACCCCTGAAACTCCCAAGGCCCCGAAAGATGAGCTGCAGATGCAAACGCTGCAGCTCAGATTATTTTGCTTCTGCAGCCGGGCCTTTCTCAGCCACCACGGGCGTATTTATAGCAGGAGAGTTTGTGCAACTGAAAGAAGCTGCGAGGTGCCGGGGCCAGACGAGGAGAGCCAGCTCTGGCTGCACACACAGCTTGGCCAAGGCAAGGAGCAGCAGGAGGGCTGAGAGCTGGCAAAGCTGGACAGGGAGACAAAGTTCATCTTCCTCACCCAGTGACAACCTCTCACGTTCCCAGTTTTACAGGCAATCTTGTTTCCAATTTACTTGCAAGATCAGTTCTGGGCAAGCTATTCCTGCAGCAGTGGAGGAATTTGCTGTGATGAAAAACCTCCCTCCACTGATTCCCGAGGGCTCGGGAGAACCTGAGCCGTGCTCAGAGCACAGGGCTGGAAACCTCAGCTGAAGGTTTGAAACCTACCACAGGAATGAACCTGGAAATCCGGAGGTGGGAAGAGGATGGCTGCAAGGATAAAATGTGGTCCCTCCCAGGGACAGGATCACGTGCTTGCACCTGCCCTCAGTTTGGGTTTCTTTCTTCCCCATACAGCAACGATTGAAGGAAGAAACTAGAGAGAGAAGATTTAGCAGAATGTTCCTAGTTGAAAATCAAAAGGGGATTCAGGAGAAACAGCTGCCTTTCTTTCTGATCTCTGATCCCTCCAGAGCAGGCTTGGGAAGAGAAACCTGATGCAGTTATCAGAGCCGCTAGTCCTTCCCTTCCCGCGCTCGGCCGGGCTGGGGTCCCGCGGCAGGGAGAGGAGGGGGCTGCCTGGGGCTGCCTGGGGCTGCCTGGGGGTGCCTGGGGGTGCCTGGGGGTGCAGCTTTGTGCAGCTGCCTGCCGGAGCCATCAGAAAGCACCTGCGGTCCCAGTGACCCCCCCGGGCGGGGCTGCACAAACCGCAGCCCCAGGAGCGACACGGAGCAGGCGGCGCTGCGGGGTCACTGGGACTCGCCCAGCAGGCTGGGCCAGGCTGTTGGTGGCACACAGCACGGGGCTCTCCTGGGCACAGAGGCCCTGGATGGAGCCACCACAGATCGCGATGCAGCGACAGAGGAGGCAGTCCTGAGGTGTCTCTGCTCTAGCCTTGCTCCCCTGGGCCGATGCTTTTGGCTCAGCCTCTCCTGCAGTGTTACAGCCTCGAGGACTGGCTGATCTCCAGGGCACCTGTACTGGATATTCTTCTCTTCTGGACCTGGACAGAGGCTCTAACAAAGACCTTTCTCACAGCTTGCGTGGTTTTAATTAGGAGAGATCCACATGCTCCTGGCATCCTGGCTGAGCCCTGATCCCACAAAGCCAGTGTCACTGAGCCCAGCTTGGTGCAGGATGGCTGCAGAGGAGCTCTGAGCTTTGCCTCACCCCCTTGTGCCTCCCCAAACCTGTGGTCCATTTTGCTGTTGCAAGGCATGGCAATCCCTACACGCAGGGAAACTGGAAATCCTTCCAAAAGTAACACCGGGGTAAAAATCCCCAAAGGGGAGGAAGAGAGCAGAGTGGCTGCGGACAGAGGTTTCCTCCCAGGGCAGCTGAACCTCTCCTTCGAACTCCATCCCAGCAGCCGCCTTAATTTGTGTTCACTTCAGAGCTGCAACATGAAAGCCCTGGCTCTGAGCTCCAGCTGAGCCGCTCAATGGCTCAGTGTTCACAGAAGGCATGGAAGGAATCCATTGATTAGTTTCTTCAGCTGGGATGTGACCATTCCTAGTCCAAGACCTGCCAAACATGACTTCGCCTCAGCAACTGGTTCCTATTTGCTGCTCACAGGCTTTAAGAAAATCTTTCCTCTTCCCCATCCAAGTCTCTCCCTCGTTTTCCACTGTGTCGCTCTGGAGCGTTAATGTCCATTCGGGCTCTGTCCCGGAGGGAGGATGCGGGGCTGGAGAACGGCCCTGCAGCCCCAGGATGGGCGATAACCATCTGTCCTCCCTGCCAACAAAGAAAGGATGGGCAGTAATGCCCCATTGTTCCTTGGGCTCCCGACTAACCTTGGCTTAACGGAACAATAATAATTATTGTTCATTTAGCACTGAGGAAAGGTGTTAGGAGCATCTGCTGTGATTTCAGACTGCAAGGACGGCTCTTCCATGACCTCTCTCCTGGCTGGGACGGCTCTTTCTTTTCCACGGCCAAATTCACTCCTGTCCCAGCCCAGGGCAGCTGCTGACTCTCCTTCAGATGTCGTGGAGCTGGGGCAGCTTCTCCTATCCCTCACATTTCCCCATTCTCATTCCTGCAGGAATTAGGTGTAACCTCTGATCTGGAGAGAGAGGTTTTCCAAGCACTGCTGCTACCTAAAGCTGGGGTGAAATACACATCCATCCAGCTGTAATGGCCAGGAAATGAAGAACACCATATCCAATTAAAACTGCAGGGGGATATTTATGGCAGAACGTAATTAGCCAAATTGGAGCCTTCCCCAAAACTGCCATGGGATTTTTAATGACCGCGAGCGGTCAGGGATTAGGTTTGATGTTTTGTCAAGTAAACAATACCCAGAGGGCATGAGACAAAAATCGGGAGCAAAGGGGAAAGGAAAAAGAAAATAAAAAACAAATCAAAAAACAAAAAAAGTGTCCTGCAATTCCAGGGAGAAACGGAGACATGAAAGGATTTATCGTAACAGGGACATTGTTGGAAGGAGCAGCAGCCACCACTCCAAGAAAGGAAAGAGCAGGGAGGTGGCCCTGGGTGTGGAGGTGGCCCTGTGCAATGAGAGGAAAGAGCAGGCAGCTGCCACGGCCGTTCCCCTGGGAGAGACCTTTCCTGGAATTTAAAATGATACGAGAAATTCTTTCAAGCGCCGTAATAGCTGGGAAGTATTGGAGTATTTCGGTAGGAGGAGGCTGGGTTAGCCCTGCTGACTCCAGCCCCGGTTTTTGGCTGGGGCATGGAAGCAGGGCTCGGTAGTGGCACCTCCTGCGGGCCCGGGCCGCTCCCCCAGCACCAGGGCTCCCGGAGGTGATGCCCGTGCCCCGAGCGTGGCTTCCCCGTGCCCCAGATGTGGCCCCGGGGTCCCCTCGCTGCGGGGCTGGAGGCACGGACGGTGCCGCAGCCTGGGCGCTGGCGGCAGGAGAAGCAGGGCGGTGTTCCCGCTGGGATCTCCAGCCCCGAGCCATCGCTGCCACAATGCGCTCCTGTGAGCGACTGTCCCCGGCCTCCGAGCCTCCGCGGCTCCGGCTTTCATTAAGTGCCGGCGGGGAGGGCTCACAAAAGCCGCTT